GAAAAAGTTCGGGGGAAACGGTCCGGGTAAAAAGTCCGGCAAAAAAGTCCGGCAGAAAGTCCGGGGAAAAACTCCGTGAAAAAAGTTCGGGGAAAACTCCGGGTAAAAGTCCGGCTAAAAGTCTGGGTAAAAAGTCCGGGTAAAAAGTCCGGGTTAGACAATCCGGTTAGACAGTCCGGATGTTTCAAATTGTTTATAAGCAAAAAACGCACGTTTTTTTAATGCATAATTGAGAATGTTAATGTCAAAAAACCGGTGATATTTTTTAATAGGTCGCTTAATTACGTCTTTAAGATAACAAAGACGCTTTCAGAATCATGTCAGGTTGAAAATTAACGCCTGTACAGAGGCTTAAAGTTCATAACTTTTGTAACCTCCGTTATAAACAAATTGAATTGTGCGAAAATTATTGCACCTACAGTGCACTTTTGGCACACTTTTAAAGTAGGTATGACAAAACCCTCAACTTGTCATAGGTTTTATAAATTTTAACAATAAATGCGATAGTTATAAACAAATTAAAAAATGGGCACTTTTCTTGTTTTTTTGCAATAACTTTTTTATTTATTAACCGATTTTAATTTAACAAGTCTCATTTTGTAGATAATTTTACTCCCTACAAACTGTCTGAGAGTCACTTTTCGCTAAAATTGATGGTTTTCCCTGCAAAGTGAAAAAACTGTTTTCCTCACTTATTTGTTTAAATAGAAAAGTTAGCTAATAAAAGTTTTTGACTCACGAGATGAGAGATGTCTTGTATTATGTTCCTTTTCACAATTTTACAATAATCTGGTGGATAGGACTTTTTTCGAGTTTCTCTTTTATTTTCGCTAATTTTCCTGGTGTAATAACAAAATCGCTGTATATAAAGAATAAAGTGTCGTTCTTTTTAATACTATAGAAATATGTTATTAAGGAAAGTACTTTACAATTGAAATTTTAATTTGTGTAAGCATAAACTTTCGTAGAGAGGGACGGTAAAATATTTTTATTTTTCATTTTACTACAAAAAATATTACATTAAGTTTTTTGTTTGTCTTTAAAATGCGTTTGGTATGGAGAACTTTCATGTTGTAGGTACTGGATGATTAGAAAATATTAAAATCTTTATACAATAAACTGCCTTTGTTTTTGAGTACGGAAATATGTTATTAACGAAAGTTGCTCACAATTGAAATATATATGTATTATGTACGATTTTCTAAACTGTAAAAGTTTCAAATATTTTTATTCTTAAGTATTTTTTTTCATACATGCACAGAAAGTGCAGCAAGATATTTGAATCGATTGCAATTACAATTACATGCTTTTGTGCTGCACATTGCACAATTGCAGGCAGCTGGTAACTCTTCGGGAGGTGGTATTAAGATGTTTACCCTCTCTGGCAACAGTAGATCGTCATTAATAAAAAATCCATATGAAGTTGGGTCTAATTCGTTCATATGTGAATTTAAAACATTCGTTTGAATATGAACAACGTAAAAATCCCGTAAGATGTGAAGTCTAATCGAATCAAAAGTCGGTGGCAAATTTTCTATTATAGAATTTTTGTGTTTATAAATCCAAACCCTTAATTCATTAAATGATTTACAACTACAATCAACATTTCTTAGAATGTTAACTAAGAACTTTTCAGCTTTTTTCACGCTGTCTTTTATACTTATGTCGGAACAATCTGCAAAATAATTTCAAAATGAGGAAAGAAAAGTATTACAGTTATTTTGCCAAAAAGTCATATTTACCATTAGCAAAATTTCGTAAATATTCCACAGAGTTTGATTTCAAAGCTCTCGTCTTTGTGCCTACTTTGCCATGGAGAATTTTCACATTGCATTTACAGGCCGATTAGAAAATGGGTAAATATAAAAATCGTTCGGGAATAAACTGTCTTTATTTTTAACAGTAAGTACAGAAATATGCTATTAAGGAAAGTTGTTTAGAATTATTATTTCAATGCTTCTATGAGTCGGCTTCCTTTCATAGAAACGGAAGGTAAAAAATATTTATGTCATTTTAGGAGAAAAAGGCATTCTCCATTAAAATTTCTGCTTGTCTTTAAAATGCGGTTGACATGAAGAAATTTCACATGGCATGTTCAGGGGCTCAGAAAATCGGTAAATATATAAATCTTTCCAGAATAAACTGCCTTCGTTTTTAACAGTACAGAAATATGTTAAGTAAGGAAAGTTCTTTAGAATTTACATTTATATTTATTTTTACGAGAAAAAGGCATTGTTCATTTAAAATTTTTGCTTGTCTTTAAAATGCGGTTGGGACAGGAGAATGTTCACCTTGCATGTACAGGGTTATCAATAAATTGGTAAATATATAAATCGTTTTGTTTTTAACATTACACAAATATTTTATTGAGGAAAGTTACTTACAATTGAAATCTATATTATTATTTCAATTTGTGTTTGAATCGGTCTACTTTGATAGACACGGACGGTACAAAATTTTAATTTTTCGGTTTACTACAGAAAGGTACCCTTCATTAAAATTTTTGTTTCTGTTTAAAATGCGGTTGGTATGGAGAACTTTCACTTGGCATGTACAGGGTGATCACAAAATCAGTAAATATATAAATTCTTCAAGAATACACTGCCTTTGTTTTTAACATTATACAAATATGTTATTCAGGAAACTTGTTTAGAATTGACATTTAATTTATTGAGTTTTCCCTCGGACTTTTCGCCTAGAAATATCTCCCCGGTCTTTTTCCCGGCCCTTTTTCCTGGACCTTTTCCCCGGACTTTTTCCCGGACATTTCCCTGGACTTTTCCCCGGTTATTTTCTTTTATTATTTGAAATAGTCTGAAAGATATTTGCTACAAATTTTAAAAACGCTTTGGAGGGATACGTGTACGTTTTTTGGGGAGATCCAAATATTTCTACTTGCGCCTTTAAATAAAACAATTAAAAAACCTACAAGTGTAAGTAGAAATATTCGAATCACCCCAAAAAATGCATATTATGTAATTCCTTCAGAGCGTTATTAAATAGCTAACAAAATATTGAAAAACCAAGTTTACTTTGCCTTAATATGTAAAAAAAAAATAACTTTTTAAATGAGCGATAGCTTCACTTATTTATTTAATAAGAGTAAAATAATTCCGAAATTGAAATTTTAATTAATATTTCGTTTAACAATAATTTTTGTGACATTTTTGTAAATTAAAAAAATTTAAGTATAAAAGATGCATTTTTTCTGGGGTTCCAGGGGTATTCTACGAATTCGTAAATATGCCCATTGTCATTTTTTCGTCGAGCTACCCGTTTAAAAAAAAATAAGTCTACGATGAATAGAAGCCGAGATATTGCAAAATTTTACAGCGCGCGACTCGCTTGTACGAGCTTCCCCCACCACCACGCCGGACAGTTTATTTAGCAACTACCTTCTCTTTAAAGAGCTTGTGAGTCGTTAATTTTCCACATTTTTCAATGCAATTCACGGGAAATCGTCGTAAACTATATTTTACGAAAAATTCAAGTCTTAATATTTATAAACAATTGCGCTACGATTTAAAAAAAATTTTATCTTGGCTCCTGTTGGTCGTAGAGGGTACTTTTTTTTATTTTGAAACTGTATTTTTTTGCCAGCTATCCATTCCATCTATTTTCAGTGAGATAGCATAAATAGCAACAATGTTATTCAAATTGTTTATAAGCGAAAAACGCACGGTTTCTTAATGCACAATTTGAGAATGTTAATGTCAAAAAAACCGTGATATTTTTTAATAGGTCGCTTAATTGCGTCTTTAAGATTACAATGACGCTTTCAGAATCATGTTTGATTGAAAATTAACGTTTGTACAGAGGCTTAAAGTTCATAACTTTTGGAGCCTCCGCTATAAACAAATAGAATTGTGCGAAAACTATTGCACCTACAGCGCCCACTTTTGGCACACTTTTA